ACGGTTGTTTTAATTAAACCGCGGTCTGTGGGCCAACATTTCTGGACAATAGATGTTATGTTATTGTATCAATTATTGAGTCGTTAATAATGTGACAAACTAACAAACGTATACGAAGAAAACAATTAATATAGCAGACTGTAAAAACAGTTCCTATAGGTCGGTTGAGGAGGCGGTGGTTCGACAAGAGTTCTATAAAACAAACAAGCCATGCGGTATCACGTATAATTGCTGGCCGGGTATTATTTTTTTCGCGTTTAATATTGTTTTACCGAGGACCGTATTGCTTAAGAGTACTTTTGTAACTTGTATCTTGTACTTTATGAATATTCTTATTGCTTAAGATACACATAGCGTGCGATCATTTTTTCTTTTGAAACAAATTAAGTGTTCGTACAAGCGGAGCTTCTAATTTAATTTATCTTAGTACGTTTTAAATAAAATGAAAATCGTTTATCGACGTTCAAAAATCATCAGGAGCATGTTTTTTGGGGTTTCAATTTTAAATGGTTCTATTAGTGGTACACCATAATGGGAGGTTGTGTTTTATTATCGTTTTTTAGTTGTATTTTATTTATCGGTAAACATTGCATAATGTTATTTAGTCTTCGATATGTTTATAATTTAAAAAGCTAAGACTGTTGTATTTTTTCTTGGAAAATAAAATGATTGAAATACGTTTCTCATCACCATTTTAAACACAACCATTTATTATGATCCTTTGAATATACACCAGTTTTATATGTTATATTGAATATTTTGTTCTATATTACTTTTTTTATTTTAAATGTAATTATTGATATAGGTCGGTGATTAAAAATTAAAATATTTTACATTATCATAGTCCTATTTTCATTTATTAATTTTATACTTACATTTTATTCATTACGTTTATTTTTTATATTGATTGATATAAAAGAAGTAATGTAAAATTCACTTTTGTTTTACATGCAATGGTTTCGGTCGCGAGATGGATAGAAATGTTAATTAAATTTACTAAGAGTTTTTTACATTTTTTTGTTAGATTTTTATATACTGGAGATCTTAGTGTTTAATTGAATGCATTTTTTATGATTTTTGTGCATTAAACTCACAATTCAGGTTTTTAATTTGAAATATGAAATAACTGCACGAGTATAGAATACCTATAGAATGAATTTTGGTGACGTTTAATATTTGATTAAAAATACCTTACATTTAGTACGCTTCATAAATCAGTAATATGATAATGTTATATACCTTATATATATTATTTAACTTGTTATCTTATTATAACATGAATACATGATGTAGGTTGGCACTTGGATTTTTGAAACCGTTCACTGAACTAAAATGATTATTTTTCTTAAAAACAAAAAAAGGACTGAATTGGGTTTCCAGCAAATTGCAATAGTAGAAAAGTTCTCCAAAATGTTCTTTTAATCCTATAAATTGAATTCCATCCATTTTTATCATTATAGTAAAATAGTTTTGGCAATTTCGTTTTCTTGGACTAATTTTTAACACATTGAGATGTTAGAACTTGTTTTTTACAAAATTGATTTTAAGTTGCCTGTCTGTAGATTTGTGTATTTCAAGTTGGACCATAATTATAATGTATATACGAGTATACTTTACTCATTATCCCTTACTCATCCATCCATTTATTTCGGTACTTAATTGTGATTACATATTTTAACGACATAATTATATTGTTCTTCTAGACAAAAATGTTACATGCTTAATCGATGCTTAATAAATCGGCGCAGTAAATTTTACACTGCGACGATTTATTTTTGGTTTCAAACTTAAACTTATGCTTGCTTCACTTATACCATGGTCACCCATCGTAGTATATATTGTTGTATTATTGCCTATTGGGCATATAAATTTCTCAAATTTTTTATAATTCTTTGTCATTTTCGAATTTATTACTTCAAAGTTTTAAAAATACTTTAAGTTTAAATCCTTATGCGTTAACTAAAAAAGTTTTTATTTTCATCGAGCTACATATATTCAAACATTGTAATGACTGGATTTAAATTATTATATTACAATTATAATTTTAAAAGTTAACAATATAGCACAGAAATTATGATTTTTTTGGTTCGTTGTAACTGAATAAAATCTCAAATATTCTACAGACTTCATATTAAATGTATATATATATATTTGATATATTTTAACTTTATAAAAATAATAACAGTTACCTACCTCTGAAATATTATAATCGCGTGATTGATTGTTGAAAGAAACATTTATCTATCTCGAAACATGTATTTTGCTACAATAAAGTCATATAATTTGTATAAATATTAATTAAAAATCATATGTAAAATATTATTCAATCCAAACCATAGCATAAGATTAAAATCATAAATATCCGGTTTCGAGTTATAATGTTATATTATTGTGTACATTATTATACGAAGTTTGCACTTCTGCAGTCTATTTACACGACACCAATAGAATGAAAACGAACGTAGAAATTATTGTTTATCGAAGAATGTATTGTTAAAATGCTAAAACTTAACATTGAGTATTTGTATGTGCATTGTGTTAATTATAAGTAACCTCTAGTATTTGTTTTAAAGATCAATTATAGATGACGATGACGCAAGAGCAGGAACATTTACTGGGCGTTCGAGCAGTCCAAATGGCTAACGTAGCGTAATGAAAGTTTCCAAGATTTTTGAACACCCTGTATACCAATGTAATAATGAAAATTGACATGTAACATTTCGATACTGATATACGTATGTTTATATTTATTGGTGGTATTTGTAGAATAATAAATTATAATAATTGTATGGGTATGCGCACTGACCTTTGTTTATTTGTTCATTTACAACGAAAACATTCACAGAAAAGCACTATAATCGAATACCTAGTTTTGAATACGTACGATTTGTGCTACAAAAAATTTTATTTGGGATTACACTCAAGTAAATAATATGTATAATATAATGCACCAGATGTTGTCGGCTAAAAATCATTCATGCAGCGGTTAAAATTTTTTTCGAAAAAATTTCTCTGACATTGACCCATACTTCAAATATAAAGGACCTAATGACCCAAATATTACTTATGTCCGTCATAATGACCACGTTTTAAAATAACAATAATCGCGTGATAATATTTATAGCCCAATATCGATGATTTAAAACTCGCCGTTAAATGAAAATAAAACACTGAAAAATCCCTTGATATTCTTACAATTCGTTTGATGGCTGAACATTTTATCTTATCCCATTGTACTTGGAATTAGGACGTTTAAAAAGTTTGGAAATTTTATGTGAATATAGCGAACTGATGTTTTTGGTGAGTATCATGCATGGAAATAATCGAAGATAACAATAATACAAGTATATTTATCGATACTTCGATAATTATGTACTCGAATCTGACAATTCAATGTATATCATTATGTGTATATACCTACGCTTTAAAATGATTACATTTAATTAAATATATCTCATTAACCGTTGCGCCTGTTATCTATGCATATCTAAATACGTGCAAATTGAGGGTTTCCAAAGTTTTTAGACGCGTTATCTAAAGTGTAATGAGCAAAGAATAGCATCTCTTTTCTCATGGGATATCCTTCCGCGGTATTTAAAAAGATCCAAGTATCCTGCGCTCCTCATATAATCATTTACAATCTGTTTCAAGGCATTTACAAAATCATAATTTTCATACATTGCCATAACATTTTTATCAAATCTTTGGATTTCATTTTTCTCACACGAGTAATGCCTTAATTATTATTGAATACATAGGCGGACATTTGGTTGAATTTTTTTTGGGGGGGGGGCTATAATAATTCAATGTAAAATAACCCGTAGGGGCTTCGCCTCCACACTCCCTTCCTATACACAAGTATAACTTATTACCATTAAAAATATAGATATGTTTAAATTGTAATAAAAAAACATTAAATAACGTGTATTTAAAAATAATTGATATTTTATTGGAATGACAAATAACTATTTGTATTAGCAAAGATACTCAAAATATCATCGCTTTTTATATTTTTCGATATATCTTTTTCAATATATAATATTGAAAGATTGTTGAACCTATCTTGAACCAACAATGTCCTTAACCAAGTTTTTATTTTTTTCATTGCACTGAAACTTCTTTCGCAAGTAGCCAAACTATGTAATTGGTATTGTTAATGCTATTGTAAATAATTTTTTATTATATCTTATTTTACGATTTTCAAAAAAAATGAACAGATAATTATAAATAAATTATAGAAACAACGAATACAATTTTTAACAAAGTTTCGATTTGGGGGAGAGGCTATTAAAATATTTGGAGGGGTCTAAGCCTCTCAAGCCCCCCTTGATATCCACCTATGATTGAATACCAATATTGTTTAGAATAAAGCTTCAACTTTTCAGTCAGTATTCTCTCATAATATGTCTCTTGGTCGACTGAGTTTTTTTCCGAAACGAATTCCATAAAATAAGAGTACTTTTAAATTTCGAGAGAATGTGCTAAATAAAAACCATGTCATTCTCATTCGTAATTATGTAAGTATGTAATTAAAAAAAAAGTACTTTTTAAAATCTACAAGAGTCTCAATACCTTGACTGTCTTAATAATCTTGAACTCGTGATTTTATTCGGTTATCACCGAAATGTCGACTTTTTATTTTGCTTTTGATAGACTACAATAGAGTTTTTTCTAAGAGGCACTGTACAACTGTTCATAGATATCCCCCCTCCTTAGTTGTGTCTGTAAATGGCACTATAATTTGATGCAATTTGGCACAAATCCGTATACTTTAGTAGCGATAGAATACGAAAACCGTGCACATTTAAATGCTATTACAGGTCAACTTTGGACTGTCGATAATTTTTGGATGGTTTTTTTATTTATTCGATGAAATATTATTTTGTACTCTTAACATGGCTGTTCAGAAGTGAGATGGCCTCTTTCACCTAGACATGTTTCAGATTGGAAAAGCACGCACCTAATTATTTCATGGACACATTAATATAATGTATACTCACATGATGCGACAGCGACTATGATGCCCAGTCGATCGTGCATGGTGTAGTAAGATTCAGCGGTGGCTATGACCTAGAGTGTTGTGCGTCCCGTTCAGACGACTTTGAAAACAATAACCTGTGGCTTATCTGTTTCTCAGGTTTTCCTTATTTTTCTTCGTTTTTGAAGATCACATGTCAACAGCGACGGTTCGCCGGACGACGGGTGGACGCTCGACCCGTGTGCACACACTGTTTACGTACCGGAAACAAACTGACCGTCGCACGAAATGAGTTACCGGAAACGCGAGCAAATGTACCGAATGTTGATCCGACTCGTTGATTACACTATTATAATTATTATTATTATTACTATTATTATTTATTGTGATGGAGCTGATGGGGTTAACTGTAACGACGATGATACGATGTTATTTTTCTTGGCGCGTGTATGTGTTTTTCTCATCCGTCGCGTTTTATCACACACTGACGACTGGTAGAAGCGGTTATCGTCGAAACAGGTCGGACCCATACATTTTAGACGAGCAAGACCTATGGACTCGATCGATCGGATTTTCTTATCGAATTTTTACCATAGCCCCGTCAATCCCCACTGATTGAGATATTATGTGCACATAAGAGAGTTTGTATCAATATAATATTATAATATTTATTTGCCTTCGACGCCAATTATGTACATCGGACAGACTTTTTGCATTCAAACTCGTTTCTAGGATCCGGAAATATTCAATAATAATATTGTTATGACGAGCATTCGAAAAACGTACCGATGGACAAGGTTCAACGGTCCACCGTGTTTTATACATAGAATCATTATGTTCGACTAGAAATAGAAAGTAGAAATGGAGCGTACAAAAAGTCATAGCATAGAAAATATATTTATTTTTTTTATTCCTCTGATAATATCGCAAAGAATATATTATAATAATATTATATCGTTTAGCCCCTTTTCCCTTATATACTAACGTTTATTTCCATCTTTATGAATAAACGCGTCGAGCAAAATCGAAGTTTATGATCGAAAACCGATGATATGATCACACAGTTTTAATATCTGTCACTGTTTGATTTTAAACACCACGGTTATGCCAGTTATCGTTACGAATCGTATGGATTTTTCGATAAGAACCGACGAGTTTATTTAAAGTTTATCACTACAACCACTCTTTGGTTTATAGCGAACGTTTTTTTTATCATTTTTCTTCGTTAAAATGGCACTTGCCACCGCCACTGCTATAAGTTGCGTTGAATTTATGGCGGTTGAAAAAAAAAAAAAAAACTTTAAAAATGTATATAATTCGTAATTTTTTATCCTCTACTGAAAATAACTTCAAGAACATGAAGTAAAATTGAAAAAGTGCGTGGGCAAAATCATTTGACGATGAAACGCGACGTGTTTGTCGACGACGATTGTTCATCAACATTGATATTTTTGCAGTCCTGTCATTTGACATTTTAATAACTACTTGATACCCTACTTGGGTGCCACTTTCTACAAGTAACAACCACCGACGATGTATATGATAAAAGTGTCGGTCAATATTATACAGTACGGGGTGGTTTTATATGATTGCGCCCGAGGTCTGAGATTTTGGCATCACGCCACTGATATTTAACGACATTTTTCATCAACTCGCTCTAATGTTAAAAGAAAAGGCGGTAAACGTCGTTTTTCTTTCTCCTTTCTCATATCCCGTGCCTATGGGGAGGGGGTACATATTCAACGTGACACACATTATTCGTGACGTGTAGCGCTTACTATTCGCTATTATACTTACCGAGCGCTTATTATTGGCTGTTACTTGCAATGCACGTGTGTCAGCGACGAGAGTCACTCGTGCCCGTCGGCTGTCACATGCCACGCCGTGGCGTCGACGCCATTTTGGTCATCCTAACATTACTAATTTACAAAACATCGGTAAAACTTGAACAGTATCTGATTTTAGACACTTGCTGCATCAGTAGTTTTTACCTCTGGACCGTTTTTTTTTTTCACGCCAGTACGTTTTAAACAATTCTTCAGTTTCAACCATATAGTTTCGTAACGTCATAATTGTGTTAAATGTCAATATTTTTGAAACACGCATAATATAAATTATATTTAATTAATATCAAATTTCAAAAATATTTTTTTCGTGGTTGAGAATCACGGGCCCTACACGCATGGTCTGGTAAATATTTTGGATGGGGAGAAGGTTGCAATTTATAGATTCTGAGATTGAAATGGAATTGATTGTAAAATTTATGTTTTTTTCTTCGGTTAATAAATTTTCTAGCAATAAATTTAATTTGTACTAAAATTTTAAGCAAAAGCAAGTAGATTAATATTATATGGTTTTAAAAAACTAACTTAAAGATAAAAAAAAATACAATTAATTTCATCGCTAATTATAATCAATGCTTTAAACTTGAGTTACTTCTATCATTTATAATCGTTTTTCACAAAATTGACGATTGTTTTTTGTTTTCAATCTGAGTATGTTTGGATTTATTTTTAGTCATATCGGAAGATAAATAACAACATTTTGGGGTTGAACAGTTATGATTTTAATGTATGAAGCAAATGTATTCGATGTTCAAATTTTTGTTTTAGTCCATATTATACATACCCATACTTTTTAAATTTAATTTAAAAAAAACACAATAGCATATTGTATTACAAGACCATACCAAAAAAATATTTATGGAAAGGTTATATCCTTTCATTATTCCTTAATATTAGATGAAATTACATTAAAATGTGTATGATTCGTTTATTATTTTCAAACATTATAGTAAAGATGTGGATTCAGTAAGAGGGGAGGGGAGGGGCGTCACTCCTGTTGTTCGAATCAAAATGTGTTACCTATTTAATTTTTTTAAATTTAATATCTTGTGTTTTTCTATGTAAATGTATTTGTATATTATTTATTCAAAAATCTTCGAATTTTATTTTTATAACAAATTTATAAATTGTTGATGTCAACATTATTATTAGAGGTTGGATTTATATTCTCATAAAATCTTTAAAATATGTTTTTATTTCGTTTAAAAAAGACAATATATTTTTTAAATATTCTTTAAAAATTCCAAATATATGATGTTTTATGTCCTTACAAATACAAATAATCTTTCAATATTCTGTAAAAAAAAAAATTATTTTAATTAATCGGTTTAAATTTATAATTTATTATTTATTAATTGTTATTATTAATTTGATTTATAATAATATTTTGAAAATAATTGGTAATATAATCGTATAATTATGATAAATTATTTTACTTCTAAATAATTTTACAAAAATAAAACTTTCAAAAATAAAAATGTTTATAAAATATGCTCAAAAATTTTGTAACGTACTGAATATTCCCTAACCCTTAAAATACATTTTTTTTTTGTGAATTCTATATTTTATGAATCGTAAAGATATTTTATTCCCATTTAACTGCATAGACTAGAAACAAATATGTAAAATCATAAAAATCAACATCTAATTAATATTTTGACTGACTGAGAGATGACGATTATCAACTGCCGATCGCCGCGCTCATAGGGCTTTGCTCTTAAAATATCTTCTATATTCCATCATCTGAAATATATCTATATTTATTAGTTATCCGTTCATTGCTCCCGCAAAACACTAATATTGTTATGTTGACTGTCTACCGTAGAATAAAGATAACTCTGTCAACAGTTCGAAAATTGACAATCATTGATGCACACGTACTACGTATACTTACAACCTACCTAATTATTTGTTAATGCGCGCCGCAGTTAAAAGTGGCATATTTTTTTTATAAGAAAAGGGCAATTTCAAATTGTAAATAATTCAATAAAGACATTCAATGTAGTTTATGAAAAAAAAGTATTAATCATAATTAAAAATAATTATTGCATTAAGTACTATTGCCTATACTACCTAACCTAGTACACCTAGTATATATATGTCTTTATAATATATGTCGCATTTGCCAGTAGGTATCTAAATACTAAATATGTATACATATTTATAATAATTCACCCATCCCATTAATTTAGATTGGATCCGCGCCTGTTATAGTATACAATTGTGAATTGGTACAATGATAATTAACTAAATTTTTCGTTTTCCGATGTTAATCTTAAGGATATTTTAGAAGTTGTACTATATTTCAAGATTACTTAATATTCGCGCCAATAATTGTAAATAATTATTATTTCTTACTATTTTTTACAGAACGTAATTAACTTATTTATCAGGTAACTAGTTCGTGGCATGCGTCATTAATAATAATATATTTTATAATGACATAATAATAATATAATATATATAAAATATTTAGAAAGTAATGTACTTATGTTAAAGTTCCAAATTCTTAAAAAAATTGTAATCACCTGTATTAATTGCTGTTTCTTTAATTCTTCATTATATCATATGTATTTAGAGATTGAAAATATTAAACTCATGGTATATAAATGTATACCTGTTATTTTTTATAATCATAATTATACTTTTATTGAAACTAATGCACATATATTACCAATTATATAAAGTTGCTGGTTCAAATTGTAGTAGGTATTGAGGTATATTAGTGAGGGAAGAGATAAGCGTGTATAATCAGAGCCGTAGCAAGGGGGTGATGAGAGGTGCCTACACCCCGGGCGCAATTCCTGGAAAAGCGCAAAAATGAAAATCTTGCATTTAATGTTAAAAATTACAACGGTTAATGTCGTATATTTTGTTTACTAAATTTTTAACATCCTTCATATTAATTAAAACAATCGTTGACAAATAACATCTAATAAGCATAATATTTTTAAATTAAAAATACATAAGGGCGCATTATGAAATTTCATCCTGGGCGTAATGTTTGATTGCTACGGCACTTTGTATAATTATTCTGTCTTTAGCTGTAAAATATTTAAATTTGAAACCGTTAGGAAAAGGGTAGATAGACGTATTATATATATATATATATACACAGAGTAAGGCTAGATTAATGGAAATGTTAGTCATTTGTCGTCGTAGATTAGATGCGTGAGATTTGTGACATTGTGGAATCAATAACCACTGTTTATATAACACTTAATAAGTATTTAGTTCGTATTACAGAGTTTTGGAATGAAACACGAAAACAATTTGACAGCCGAGTAATTCTATACTATTTGAGATCCCCTGATCTGACAGTTAGGGATAATTTTTAATGAGAACAATTTAAAAGACAGCATTTCACGCTCGACAATATTTATAAATTCAGAAACAAGAATCCAAAGGCAATCACTTTTTTGATAACATGTTACATCGAGCTATGCGAAATTTATTTAATAAGAATTAAAAATATAAAAAACGTTTTCTATCACTTATACCATAAATTTAAAAGTTCATGTTTTCTTGAGCCTCCTAGTTTATATAATTAGTAACATACTTTCAACTTGTATTTGTATACATATGGAGGTCTGAGGATAAAATGTACTGCCACAGGTTTGTTCAATTGTACAACCCACATTGTACTATCTAGTTTCTTTACTCGTAAACCGTACTTTCTAATCATATATAAAACTATTATTGTATATTATTCTTTTTTTATTCACATCTAAAGAATCGATAGAAGTTAAGTTCAACCCTATTGACTACGTATATAATTCTGTGGTTGATTGGTGCTTACGAAAGCTGCATACACAAAAATTACTGTTCGAGGGATATATGACGTGTATCGAACGAGTTTCAAAATGATCTATTTCCTTTTATATTGTTGTTTTTCCAAGTCTCATGCTATTAGACCTTGTATTATGTATATTCAAACGAATCGTTTACTTGCATAAATAAAACGATCCCAGTGCGTTCAATCATCGAGAGTGCGTCATCGAAACATTCCACATCGGTCGATATTTTTCTATCGTATTAATGTGTCAAATGTACCCGCGCATACATCGTGAGATTTTTCGCGCTTATTCATTATATTGGCAGAAGATAATTTCAATATTTTTATAGATAATCAGATATTCTAGTGGATATATTTTTCTGCAAAATTAGGTATTCATGTCGTATGCGGTGTACCACCCGTTTCTACACGTCATATGTGGTCTACCGCACATTTGTCGTCTACCATATAGTTGAATCAAGGGCGTATTTGATGGGGGGGGGGGCGAAGGGGGCGTTCTCCCTCCATAGCTCATATTTTTTTTTGAATATAATACATTGATTTATTTAAAAAATGGAATGTATAAATAATTAAGAATATAAATTACTAGTCTATCATTATATGTTATTATAACAGGAACATGTGCTGTAGGTAATGAACTATAAATTATTTTTAAGTTTGTATTGAAGAAAAATTAGTTCCCCTCCGTGGCTACAACTCAAATATGCCTTTGAGTTGAATGAATGAATACATAAATGTGGAATTACAATATATTTATTAATATAGAATTTCAATATAATATTGCAGAATTACAAAATAATGTATCACGTATAACGGCACAAACTAAACTGTAACTGATTTTCTCATACGTTTACGATTATAAACACGATTATTGCTCTGTTTGATTACCTATATTGCTATAAGACGACATCGAGTCCATTAAGATTATAAATTGTTAAGATAAAGCTTAATAGTCGTCAAATGCCGCCGTCGGATCAACGGGAATGACCTAAAATATATATTTAGATGCGCGGCAATAGACCGCATATGACGTGTAGAAATATACGTGGTAGACGACAAGTGTGCGGTAGACCGCATAAGTCATGAATACCTAAAATTGTTTGAAAATATTATTGTTTAACTACTTTTATAAGCTGTACCTACTTCAAGCTTTATTGTTTTATAAGTAGGATGTTAGAAATATGTAGGTTATGAAGAACTGAAAAACAAGTACTGGGTATAATTATGTTTATTGGACTATTATAAATATATCTATCTATCTATATATATATTAATATATTGTATATCTTTGAACCTTATATTTAAAAAAATGAAAAATCAATGAATGTATATTGTTCGATGTAGACCAATATTATCAAAAAAAAAAAAGGGACGTAATAGTATAGTTTGAATCCCTTAAATTATGCTATTGTAAGTAATATTATTGTTGATTTATATATAATATTTAGTTAAAATAAATAGTTATTATTTAGAAAATAAATGAAAAACTGAATTTTAGTTGATATAAAAAATTCTTTAGATTTTATAAAAAAATTGACTGTCTATTGTCAAATTGCTATTTTATCTTTTATATTATATTTAAATGAACGTTGCATCTTGCCTTCGACTAATTATTTTAGATTGATCCTACTCATCAACTAAAAGTGATTTTTGAAATTTTAATAAATCATCATTAAATTTGGTTTACGTTTAAGCGATTTTAATTTATTTTTAAAACCTTGATTCGCATTATTAATATGGAATCAAAATTAAGTACATTAAAATTTACTATTAAAATGAGTTGATTAAAATTTAGGAACTCACAAAAAAAGTTTCTTAAAATGATCTGATACGGGTAATAAAGAATTACTTGAGTAAACGATAATAAAATTAACTTTCATCAAATTTACAAATTAGCTTACGTTTATGTGTTTAGGTATTTTTTTTATCATCTTTTAGCTGTATAATTAACAATTTTTTTGTTTTCATTGACAATCATTATTTGATTAAAAATAAGATGATTTCATTTCACGATTTTATGAACAATCGTACAAGTAAATAAACCGTGCACAGTTCAGTGTACTCGAATATGTGTGAACATTTTATGACTACTATCCACTAAAAATTCTTTACTTTAATAACAGTAATTGTTTATTGAATATTTTCATGTAGCATTTAATCAAATACTTTGTCTCATTCAGTACCAAGTAAAGTAAACAAGTAAATACCAATGCTATATTTTGGCTTGTATTAGGAAACGATGGTCAAAGGGATAAACCGACGAGGTCGCACTATACACCATAAACATAAGTCGATTCCGTCGAAAATGTTGTAACTTAATATATAATCAATTTCAAATAAATATAATTATAATAATAATCATAATAATAGTAGTAATAGTATTTAGTCTCTATATGTCCAATCTACACGCTAAATAATAGTATCGTATTTTGTAGGTAGTTAGTAATAATAATAATAATAATAATAGTAATAATAATAATAATAATATTATACGTCTCCTGCTACTTTCAAGCATCGAATCGGGTGGCGGCACGAGCTGACGGCGATGATGACATGATCATAGGGCTGTTGTTGTCGTCGTCGTTCTTATTCCTTTTCATAGTTTCAAACCCCCCAAAGCCAGTGAAGGATTCACCTTCGAAACCTGTCGCGTCCATCTCGGGCCTGCGCTTCATCGTGTCGAACCGGTCGAAACCACCGGTGAACGATTCGCCGTGGAACCCGTTGGCGTCCATTTCGGGCCGGCGCTTGCTGGCCGGCTGACGCTGCCTGACGCTGTTGTTCGGAGACATGCGCCGCAACTTGTTAATCACGGACGGGGACGTTCTCGACAGTGACCTGGAAACCATGACCAAAATCGTACACTCCATTCAGACATGGGTGAAAAAGAGGCTTGGAATAAGTACGGAGGTCAACTGGTAGCTGGATCAACTGTTATGATATTTAAAATTGGTATTTGGTTTTGGTTCCGGTTTTTTAAAATACAAAATCCCGGTTCCCGTATTTGAAAATATAAAATTAAGGTTTTGATTCCGGATCCGGATGGAAAAGGTCATTATTTATATTCCAACTATTTTTTGTTAATACGGAAAAAATTATATAACATGCGTTTTAATGTAAATTATTACACTTTATATTAAAAAAAAATTAATTTTATCAAAATAGTATAAAGTTATTTCGATTATGAAATAAAATTGTAGGTATCCGAGTGAGAATTTTGTTATCAAGTTAAATATATGTAAAAATTTAGATTTTTTTAATTTGTTTTTAATCACTAGTACTTAAAATTATTTTAATATACTTCATTTTTGGTTTTATCTTTTCAGACAAATTACCAAAAATGTTACTGTAGTTAGAATATAAATAAAAAATTATGTAGGTAAATAAAATTGTTAATATGTTAATTAATAAATAAATAAATAACTATCCTGGAGTATTATTATATTTGTAAAGTATGACCGGGAATTAAAAATTCATCATCGGGTATATTACAAAGTTAGTAAAATCGCAATTCTATTATTGACTTTGTATATACTTGATGATGAATTTTTAATTCTTAACCGGTTATATTTTACAAATATAATAATACAATATGCTAACCATTTATTTATTTCCATGCTTAAACTATTTATTTATTTATTTATATATTAATTTATAGGCATTAACTATTTACTATTTTCTAATTATTTATTATTTTATTAATAAAATGTTTATAGTATTATATAAGTTATACAATTATACAAAAAAAATTTGATGTGTATAAAAATAATAATAGCAAAATTAAATGTATTCTATTAAATTTTAAGTGTTATAAAATACAAATAATGCATATGAAATATTTAAAAAAGAGAAATACAATTTTTTTAGTTTTGGTGAAAAATATTTTTGATATGATACTTTTATGTAAAGCTTTGAACTGCGATGTTTGATCTTTGTTAGTATTAAAATAAATATAAATACTTTTTATAAATTTTACCTGGAATTAAATTTTTATTTAGAATCACAATTATAATTTTATAATCATTACTTTTTTTGTAATATCTTTAGAATCTATTTTTTTTTAATAACCTGTTGTTACGTACTAATAATTGATTACTAATAATTGATCTTCTAGATTTTTTGAACTTATATTACAACAAAACAAAATGTTATTCATATAAATATGTGTTCAATTTATAAAATGTTCTTTTTAAATGTGCAATATTATAATGTATACTTTAAACTTTGAATTACAGGTACTTTAAAGGTTGAGGTTTCATAATTTGGCCAAGGTTCCGGTTCAAAAACTGGTTCTTTTCGGTTGGGTTCCTGTCTCTGTATACCACAAATTTTGATTTCATTCAATTTTTGAATGTGTGGTGACCGATTTTAATATATTTCATTATAAATTAATATGACATTTGTAACTAAAATTTGATAGGTAATAAATTGAGAACGCGTTTCTGGTATGTATTAATATCACACATTTTAACAAGTATATGGTATAGGGTGAACCTAGCCCAAGTATTGATTTACTGTGCTGGTATCGTGTGGTTAAAGTTGTTGTAAGTTGTATTTAAACTTTTACAATCGACAAAGTATATCGGTAGTTATTACAGTAAGATTAAGCCGATGGGTTTTTCAGTTGTAAAACAAATTAATGCCAGTGTTGTGGATACTGCCGATTACGATTACAATTATAAGTAAGTCATTAGCGGTTGAATGGTAGCTATTGTAAACTATACGTGTAACCAAATGGTAATATGCGTTTGAAAATCCATTCACTATGTTTCTGTGTATATCCTTAGTGAGATTGAAGACTCCAGCATGTCAAATTTCTAGTTGTTAATTTATAATGGACTTTAATTGTCAAATGCTGCAGACCCACAAGTAATGAGTCAATATAATATATACATTGATAGTTCATCGTGAAAAACCCCAATATTTGGTTTTACAGTATTTTGAAATTTGGTTATATTCATATTTCTATCATGTAATTAAATATGTACCTGAACTATTGGAGAGTATTTATAAATGCATAATTGCGGTAATTTAAAATATTAATGCAGTAAAATAAGTTACATTTTAATTACACATTTTAAAGTTTGCTGTTGATGAATATGATTACATTTTCAATAATTGCAATTAATCACTAAAAATAATATTGATACAAAGAAGCTTATCATAATTGCATTTTTTTTCAATAAATTTCTACTCACAAATACCATTCCATAAATTATTGATAATAAACTGTGATTTTGGTATTTCGAATTACAAAAATTAGTATATAAATTAATTGTCACAGTTTTACTCAAAAACTCATTAACTCTGCTTTATATTTCTACAAGGATATAAGTAATGATTTAAAATGAAATAAAGGAGCTGTAAAGGGCTGTAGCCTATTTGCGCCCCCAGAGATGTAAACATATGCGCCCGAAAGATAAGGTACTACCTACCGATTTATAGCCCATATGCGCCCATTTCACATATAACATTGCCATTGTGATATATAATATAGATTATTCTTATCTTGATAAATACTTAAATTAAGTAGATTAATACCTATACATATACTATATACATATGTATGTATATATATATATATATACATATGTGTATATATATTATAGTACTTTAATAATTGTCTAAATAATATAATTTAAATTTTATAATTTTTTCAACATTTTGGGTTTAAAAAAATTAGTCAATATGACAATAGCGAGTAACTCGATTATTTTCACTCGATTATGCCCATCACTATGTTCAGTAGTTTTAACTTTATAAGGTAAATAAATAGTATGGCTTGTATTCCAGATTACAATTTGGCAACGTTGCACGAGTTTAACACATTTTTATTAAAAATATTTCGGACGCAAATGGGTTATGATTTCGGGCGCAAATGGGTCACGAAAAAGGTGTGATGGGCGAAAATGGTTTTCACCGGTTTTAAGTTTATAAATAAGTGTAATATTTAACAATTTCGATACAAAATATTCCATATTCTTACTCATGCCTTTTAAAATAAAACACATAAACGTTGGTATCCTATCTGGATGTCTTAAAAAATTAAAATTATTCAAAAAAATATTAGAAAGCACCAAACAGCAATATAATATTAGGTTTATTTTAGTGCCTATACATAAATATATATAATAAACCGTACCGAACGCAAACGCAGTATGGCCCTCGTGGATTTATTAATTCTCATTTCTATATTATCAATACGAGTTTAAATAAATACAAATCATAACCTGCAATTAACACACTAAATCTTCAAGGAACATCCTATATGCGCATTATATGACGTATGTGTTACAGGTATACGGAGAAAATGTCATTGATTCCTCAAGGAAATAATTACTATTCATATTATTATTATTTGTACAATATCATTGCTTTTATTTTATCCCTCCATAATTTTAACTGTATTGTGTATTCTTATGACTAATTCCGAACTCGCTAATAAATATATATAGAATATAAAATTAGTAGTAAAGAATTTTAATTTTAGATGAGCAGAGTGGAGGGTCAGTGGATATTTATCAAAACGTCTGTTTTGATAATTTGCTCATTTCAGCTCTAAGTATAAATAAATAGTTCACTATTAGTCTTATACTTAATTTGATACACCAACATAATATATTCATAAATATGTTTTGCTTTGGAGTATACATTTTTTAAAAGAAACGTGATTTAAAATTAGTAAAACATTAAGAAATAGTAAGCTTTTGGTTTCGTCTTAATTTTTTAACTTGCATTTATTTTCCAAAACCGAAATTAATCTATAATATGAGTGTTTAAATATGAATTAATTAAACAAAATACTTATACGTTTCACTATACTACATGCACTTACATCTGCTTTCGATTTATTCGAAATTGAAAGCTGGCTCCAGAGTACCTATATAAAAATATTGAATAATATTGAGCTTTAAGTTGGGGAGAGAGAAAAACGTAGTGTGCGATAGAAGTTCTCATTGTGCATGAAATTTTGAGATATTAGTGTATATTTAGCGAATTATAAGTGGAGACATTTTAGAGCGTATTTCATAATATTTTTTAAAATTTTTGTTTTTAAAAATAAAAAAATTCGTGTTAACGTTTAGTTCTGAAATACGTTGTATAATATGTTGTAATATATTGTATTATAATCATAAATACTTTTTTAAAAATAAAATACGGTTAAGATAATATAAATTATTGTCAAAGTAAACTACAAAGCATTTTGTACCTAAGTGATAATGGATAAAAATGTATTATCATACTTAAAATATGATTTTACTACACGCATTCCTTGTTTGATTTCGCAATAGGTCAACGTATCTCGATTTATCGGTAAAACGGAAAAATGTTATTATTTTTCACCTACTATTGTTATGGTTCTACGCGATCGCGCAATTTAAATTATCTCGAGTTTTCTCGTGGAAATATGGCTAAAAATGTGTGTATGTATTATGCGAGTGTGCAATGTGCATAGGTCATGATTTATGTATACATATAAAACAATATAAACAACCTACATTCTAAACTGACTTATAAAAATAATTGTTTCAAGGATAGTGGACACGCTCTATTTTCAGCCATTGTAAAATGCTCGAAATTTAAAAATATATACTCGTAGCAATCAATATTGTGAACACTTAACACAAATCCTTGTACAATTTAATAAAATTTAATAACATCAACTCTTAATACACATTTTTTTATATCCTAGCATTACATAATGCGACTTAAAATTTATAAATTAAAGTTGAAACGAAAACGTTAAAAATATTATTGAAATTAGATTTTCGTAGTGTTTTTTATTTATATTTTCTAGTCCTATAACACGTGTAATATTTGAATTGTAAAAATTAAAA